CACCTGGAACCATTTAGACAGAGAGAGGGTAAATCAAGTAAATACAAACAGCTCAAATAAGATTCATTTAACTGGAAATAAAATACGCACAATATCATCCAAAATGTCGTTGGTGCCTCTGCTGTTCCGGCTTGTGGATTTGCTCGAGGAACGCGGAGTCGAGGCTACAGGTGGGGAGGTGACGGGAGTGTGGTTGTTTATTGTGGTACATGAGACTCTGGCAGGGGATACCAGGGTTCGGCCCGGCGAGGGTGCCGCCAGTGGAGTTGAGGCAGATGTGTTAGTGGTGCAGGATGAAGAGAACAAAGGTGTTTGTGTTGAGGCTGTGGTTGTACAAGGGTTAGAGGCTGAGAGGGAGGACTGAGGAGGGGATAAACATGTAGGTACTGGGTTTGTTGTGGCTGATGGAAGATCAGAGGCGAGGGAAGCGGCAAGGGTTTCAGACAGACAGGTTGTGCTTGGAGTGAGGGGCATGGGTGGAGGAGGAGGAGGAGGAGGATTGTGATGGCGAATACAATGATGTTAGAAGGAAAAGGAGAGACTGGGATGATGGAGAATAAGCACCCTGCCTCCTCCCTCTCTATCTCTCTCTCTAACTTCACCAGCCCTGGAGGCTCCACTCCATACCTGAAAGAGAGGTTCAATAAAAATATATCAGCAACCGTATGGGATGAATCAACACTAATTCTCACAGTAAAGGATAGTGATTCACAAACAGGGGTATTTGAACCTCAGGGGATACTTCTGCAGTTACCAGGGGACAAGATTTTGAAGTAGCTCAACTAATTTGACAAATCAACTATTAGGGCCTTCTATTTATACTATTATTTTATCACTGTTTACATGTTGAGTCATTTATAACGTGACACCAAGTATAGTTTATATAGTTAATTAAAAGTAGCCTAAAAATACATGATTGAAGTAGATAGACAAACCGTTGAAATAGATAGCTAAAAGTAATGCATAGACTGAAATAGTTAGCTGAAAGTAACTGATACACTCAAAATAGTAAGCTAATGGTAACTGATAAATGGTTGAAACATTCAGAATTGCAATATGACCTAAACATTGACTGTTCATTGTATAAAAAAATACTGTAACAAAAAACTTTTATGTAATTAACAGTGAGTGGTGTCAATGAAAGAAAATCATCAAGTATTTTGTCTTTGTCAGATGAAGGACTATAAAAGAAATAGCAGTTTTCTGCTCAGTGTGATTCAATTGTGATTATCTCTTCAGGAGCTGTACCAGGGGTGTTGCAGTACTATTTGTTTCCAGTTACCTGGCTGCAATCCGTCCCAGCTCCATAAGACACAGGCACACCTCCCGAGGTTGCTTGTGCAGGACTTCACACAGCACATGCAAGAGGGGACAAACAAAGACGTTGGAGGGGTGGAAATGAAAAAAAAAAAAAAGTCAATCATCTGAAAGGAAAGATGTTTCCGGAGATAAACTTTTGTCTGTGTCAAAAGAAAACCGGAGATTTCAGGAGGTACTCTGTTTCTATTGTGAATCTCTATCTTTGAAGCAGGAATTCCTGTGGGCTCTGGATGTGCAGCTGGGGGCATAAGGGCATGAAATCTTCATGAAAAAGTCAGCCTCTTACTTCCAGTACACAGTCTATATGTTAAATAAAGGGGCTCTGTGCACTCAGTATGGACCAGAAGTTAGTTCATTTATTAAGATGACAGTTGGTTGAGCATGCACATCTTCATGTACAACTACAAAACAAAAAAGAAAAATGTAATGAGCAGAGAGAAAGTCACTGTCAATAATGGTATTTTATTTTCATTCACCTGTATTTGAGATCCACCATTACATCATGGCTGCAGCAAGAAAAGGAGACGAGAGAAAAGAAAAAGAATAATCATCTGTGCCTTCATGTCACTGAGGCAGTAAACTGAAGTCTGTCAAAGTATAAGTTCACTCTCCCCATCACTCAATTAGTCAAGTGAAGTAGGTTAGTCTGCCTGCAGGGGGGGCTTATTGTTGGTGGGGATTAACCTGCACATTATCATTTGCACGCATCTGCCTGCCTTGCATAGACATGCCCGAGTAAGTGCATAGAGAAGAGTATGTTTAACGATACAGAACCATTTTAGTATGTTGACTGCAAGCTGTCTTCTCCTCAGGCACACAGAGCATCATACATGCAGAAGGTGTAAGTGAGAAATGATACCGGAAATGAATAATCATCACATTGATTCAGTCACATTCAGCGTGATCGTTATGACTCATCTTGAAATCTTAATTTCCTGTATTCCCTTTGTCTTCTGGCTGGTTTATTTTAATGAGTATTGCTTTCAGTTAAAGAATGAAATGTTAATTTTTATAAACACCACATTTAAATTTTAGATTGAAGTAAAATTGTCCAGGAATTATACCGCACATCTCATACCAAAGTTAAATTCCCCCTGCTCTAAATTATTCATTTGCCCCCTTTTTTTTAAAAGCATTGAGTATTACAGGTAAAGACATTGTAACTCACCAATAATATCTATTAATCAGAAAGTAAGTAAGTAAAAAAACAGCACAGAAATAATATAATTTAAAACTAATTGCAAGTAAATGTGTTATTTTATTTTGTATAAATAAGATAGTAGATGTAGTAGATGTAATATGTTGGGATAAATGAGTGTATCACATGTATTCAGACCTAGAGATTGAGGAGAAATGGAAAGACTGAAGTAGAAGTAGAAGTTCTATAACTATGTGTTGTTGTCGCACAACAGATAGACTGATGCCAGATACACACAAATACAAAAGTCTAGAAAGAGTTGTTTTTTTTGTTATGTGTGCAATGTCTCAACGAGGTCAAAGTCTAAAGATTTTAGTTTAATCACCGACATACCACAAGTGAAGCGTGACATGATTCACTTGAGGCCTTTATTGGTAAACGGAAAGAATAACTCCATAATGTTGGGCGCAATCTCCGATCTTAACTCACCCAAATCCTCTGACTCAAACAGGTAAGCCTCATCAACGCCAATCTTTCGACACCAGTAGAGGAAGTTGGCAGTGTTGTCTCGGGCGAAAAATGATCCAGAGGTTGCATCAGCTCGCCAGTGGATCACTCTTCTCGTGAAGGGCTGTAATTGTTTTCAACACACATACACA